GTATTGAGCCAGGAGACAGGTGAGTTCCTAGTGTGTTTGGGAAAGGGGTCTATAGGGTTGGCTTCCATTGCACTGTGGGACAGTAGTCAAATCAGATCCTAGAGGACATGGTGTACCAGCCCCTTACTGCTGCTGCTCAGAGGCCCTCATGTGGTCTCCTGAGGGTGCCTGTCCCCTGATCTGCTTCTGTTGGAGGAAGGAAGTGCTGGCTGACAGCTGTCTCTTGGTGATAGGGGCCCTGTCAAATCTATCACCTACCCTCAGCTGTCATCACGACAGAATTCCAAAACCCCAGAGACAGGTTGAGTTTGGACCATGCTGTTGTTGTTGTTAAGTGCCATCAAGTCAGTACCGACTCATAGCGACACTATGTACAACAGAACAATATAGTACCCGGTCCTAGGCCAATCTCACAATCGTTGCTACATTTGAGCCCATCGCTGTTGCCGCTATGCCAGTCCAGGTAGTTGAGGATCTTCCTATCTTTCTGTGACCCTCCACTTTACCAAATGTTGATCTCCTTCTCCAGTGACTGGTCCCTCCTAACAATATGTTTGAAGTACAAGAGACAGAGTCTGGCCATCCTGGTTTCCAAGGAGCATTCTGGCTGTACTTCCTCCAATACAGATTGGTTTGTTCTTTTGGCAATCCATGGTACTTTTAACATTGGGCCATGAGAAGGTAAAGAATGAGAAGAAGCTCCAACCTTGTTCTGTCCCCGTCAGAAAGTGTGAGTGGCCCCGCTGAGGCCACTAAGGAAGACGAGGCATTCATTTCTATATGCCATCTTCCTAAGGCTGTGTGGACTTCTGCCACAGCTGAATGTCCTGCTTCCCCTACTGAATACCCCTGCACTGCCCATGCCTGGCCAGACAATCCTGACTCGTATTGCAACACAACCAAGGTGACTGCTTCCTTAATAACCAATGCCCATCTGCCCAGTTCTGTGATGACCACTGGAACACAACAGTGAGGGACCTGTGGTGCTCATCTATATGGAGTTTGCGGTCTTACTGAGGAGAAGACTCAGAGCTCATGGTCCCAATGTACTGACATCCTGAGTGGGAGCCTGGACACTTGTGCCTGGGGTCCACATAGAGCCTTCTTTCCTCTGCTGTACCTGCCCTGCCGTGTTTGGATGTGTCTGCTTGCACTTCCCCCACTTGTCTAAGAGCTTCCCACTGTAACTGCTGATGGAGCTTGAGCAAGTCTCCCTTGACACACAGGCTCTAGGGGACAGAGTGTCTCACTTCCAGACTGCCTGGGAAGATTCACATTCTTGGGAAAACAGGAATGTGAAAGCTAAATGTGTTAAAGGGCACAGGGGACGCTTTCTAAATTTCCAGACATGGTTTTGGAGAATTGTAGTGCTCTGGGGTATATGTCTGAATATAAATGATGCAGCTCCTGTAGCAGGGTGTGTGTGTGTGCGCGCGCGCATGTGTGTGTCTGTGTGTGTGTGCACGCACATGTGTGTGTGTATCAGTTGAGTCCATGTGTCTACATATATTAATTCACTCCACTCAACTGGACAATCATGTTGTTGTTGCTGTTGAGTCCGCCCTGACATTTGGCGACCTTAGGTATAATAGAATGAAATGCTACCCTCTCCTGTGTCATGTTAATGATCATTGTATGCTTGAGTCCACTGTGGCAGCTGGTGTGTCAGTCCATCACATGGAGAATCCCCATTTTTGCCAACTCTCTACTTTAAAAAACAGAACTCCCCTTCCTAGCTCTTGTTCTTACTTGATGACATGTACAAAGGGAAGAGCCAGTCTTTCTATCCTCACTTGCCCAAACTTATTGAGCACTTACTGTGTGCCAGGTACATGTGCTACCTTATTTAATCTTTACAGTAACTCTAAGAAGGTAGATACTGTTATCTTGACCATTTTTCCAGAACAAGAAACTAAGGCACAGGGAGAGTAAGTCACCTGTCCAAGATCACAGTGATAGTAAGTGGTACCTCAAGAATTCTAACACAGGCAGTCTGATTCCAGAGCCCCAGTTTATAACCACCACAGTGCATTTGTGTGTGTCTGTGTGTACCTCTTAGCCACATGGGTCTCCTTGTGTGCAGGAGCTGAACAAATGGAGATGAGATTGTTGGGAGGGACTCGCCGATCTGCTCTCTGTAGACAAAGGAAAGTGGTGTCAGTTCATGGACTAGGACCCTGAAGCCAATTATTAGGAAGGAGTAGGAGTGGGTATCGTATGGGATGGGTGAATTGGTTGAGTGTGACAAGCACACTGGCAGCTTCCTGGTCTCTCTCCTGCCCTGTGTGCCTAGTTGGGTTGGTTTGCATTTTGTGGGAGGCTAGAGAACTCTCCCAGATCTCACAGATGACTGTGGGCCTTGGGAGGGGGTTGAGCAGCAGCAGCTTGTCCACGTGGCTCAGAGGAGCAGTACTCTGGGGTTCTTGGAGGTGTCCAGTCAGATTCCTCTCTCTGGACTTTGGTCTTCACATGCAGTCCCAAAGTGTGGCTCCTCGAGTTCTGTAAGTGAGCTGCTGCTCTGGACGCATAGCATGGGGACACTTGGTGTGTGGAGACTTTGTACATGAAATATAAAGGCAGTCTCAAGTCAGCAGATTTTGTAAGACCTACCCACATGGGACTTCTCCTTACCGGCCCTCACAATGTGTCCATGTTCTCCAGACCCTGAATACTGGGTCTTCTGAAACAAGAAACCTGACCCACCAGGTCCCCGGCTAAAACAAGACCCTCAGGCAGGGAATCTCAGGGTGGGGTAAATCCTTGAGTTATGAAGCCAGTCTGCTGAGGTTCCATATATGTACCTGTGGTGAGTTGTTGGGTCTGGGCCTCCCTTGGGTCACAGGAGTGACTGCCTCTTGAGTGTCTATGGAGTGTCAGACACTGCACTGAGCAATTTACAGTGTTACCTTCTGCAAGCCTCACAGCAGCTAACAGGTAGGCACTGCTATCTTACCTATGAGTATTTCCAGAAGAGGAACCAGAAGCGAGGAAAGGTCAAGTCACTTGTCCCAGGTGACATAGCTGTGACCTTGGGCAAGACTCTTACTTACCCTTTCTGAGACTCATTTACGCCATCTGTAAAATGTGGTGCATAACCTTGCTCATCTGGAATGTTGTGAGAATTAACTGGCACCAAGCAGAGTGTGGAGCACACAGTGAGCAGCTGACTACTTTGTAGCATAGCCCCAGCTGGAGGAGAGAGAACACACAATGGGAAGACGATGACTGCTGGTTGCTTCCTCTATACCACTGGGCACAGTGTGATCACAGAATTAATTCTGTAATTAGCTCCTGAATACTTGTTTTTTCCTGAGTCTGGTGTAGGGGCAGGATCTGCATCCACCTTGTCACTACTGATTCCTGGTTTGTATTTTTTGGCAGCATCTGCCTCAAGATAGGTGCCTAGTGAAAATCTGTGAATGCGGGAAGAACTGTCATGGTGGCTCCAAGGAGCCATACACAGACTGAGCAACTGTCTCCCATCTCTGTCTTGGGCTTCATTGCTGTTGAGAGAAAAGCTTTCTGAGGAAGGGCAGCCCTGTGTCTTGTCGGTTGTTGTCTTTCCCATGTAGAAGGCATACACCCAGGCCTGGGAGTGAGGCTGAGCCTCTTTGTTGACAGCTCTGGTGGGGAAAGGAGAATTTCGGAAGCCTTGTTGGTGGTGGTCCCGGACTTCAATTACAATGCCAGTCAGCCTTCCAGTATGCAGTGTCATCCCCTCAACACCTCTTATCCTCTTTGAGTGGGGACTGGGGTTGCAGGGGTCCTTTAGGTTGTATGTCTCTCCCTCCACAACACAGGTATATGTGGTTTCTGAACCACACTAGCCATCTCAGGATGGCATGTCTACACTCTGCTCCCCTTGTTCAATGAAAATATTCTCCATCCTTGGCTTTGCTCCCTGCCAGTCCCCATTTGGAAGGATCCTTGGCATACAACTCACCCTGAGTGAAATAAGTGTGGAGCTACATTCTTGTATCTCAGCTCCACCTAGAATAAGTCTGGAAAGACTCACTGCTCTGGAAACCACCTTGAAGTCCATTGGTCAGTCAAGTCTTCAATCAGAAGTGCCCAGGATTTGGGGAGAATGAGGGTGAGCAAGATGATGGTGACCTCAGAATTTCGAGGCAGGACCAGCCCCAGGAAAGTCTGAGTTTCACCCACATCCTTTCCTGAAACTTGAGCCCCTACTTTTCCAATTTCCTCTGACACCTTTCCCTTGTATCCTGCCCCTCGCCTCTACATGACAATGCCTTGTATGCGTGGCCCCATCTGGGGACCCAGGGATCCTACTGGGTATGCCAGCTTAATGAAATACTTGCAGTTTATTAAACACAGGCTTCCCTAAGCCCCAAGAGCCTGTGGGTATTTGAAAGCTGAAGGTAACCCTGAGCTGCCACAGACATAATCATTACATGTGTCTAGGCATTCCTGGGGCAACCTCAAACTCCAGCTCTTAAGCAGCCCACAAAATTAGCAACATAAAGTAACTCCTAGTCAAACAGGAGAGGGAAAGTGGGGAAACGCTGAGGGAGACTCCCCACACCCCCTCAGGGCCTCTAAAGTATATGCAGTTCCCGGTTACCTTGCATAGCTGTAACCCCCAGCTTCTCAGTGTTTGCAGAGCAGGCTCATTATGAGCCAGGCAGCCAATAGCACTTGTTGTCAACCCACCCCCA